TCTGTTTTCGTCTGTCCGTCACTTTTTTTTTTTTTTTTTTTACAAATTCGTATACGTTACTTTTTATTTGCCTCCGCATCTCCGGCTCATCCAAGGGCTCTGTTTGCTATCTCCTGTTTGCCTCTTGGGTATAAATTTTCCTCTGCCTCCCAGCACTTTCCAACTACATACTCCATCATCTCGTCCACTCATCTCCCACACATTTTGTTTTCCCATTGCACTGTATTCAGGAATTCCCTCATCTCTGCAAAGTTCCTTTTTCTAAAGTCTGGCTTCTCACTCTCTCTACTCATCATTCTTCCCTCTACATTTAGTTCCACAAGGTACTTGAAGTTCAGCACTGCATGGTCGTTGGGTCTCAGAGGCACTCTTGTATTTTATTTCTTCTATGTCTGACATGTGTTAAATACTATGTCCAGTCTTGCTGGCTCATCCCCTCCTCTCTCTCTCTAGTCGTATCCTTGACATGCTGACACACAGTTTTCCCTGACCACTTTCGTCAACCTAGCTCTCCATGTTTCCGGTCCCTCAAGAGGCTCCCAGCTCTCCCAGTCTATCTGTGACTGAAATCCCTCATGATGACCGGCTTTGTATTGGCTCTGTAGGCACTCATAGCTTCTTCATTTATGTCAATCATTCCTTTGTTGTTGTCTTCAGGTTCTTACCTCGATCTCCTGTTGTTAGGTGTCAGGTTGTAAATCGCCAACTACTACTTTGGGTCACCCAGTCTTAACTAAGCTTGCTACGAAGTCTAGTGTCTCTTCTCTGCTCATCCTTCTCACCTTTTCAGAACTGATTTCTGATTAGCAGTACTACCCCTCCACCTCCCCTGTTTTCTCTTTCCTTATCACTTGATATCCTACCGGAAATATGGCATCTGATATCATGTAGCCCAGCTGTGTCTCTGTGATAGCTATGATGTCTGAAGGTACTTCAGCTATTCATTTCTTCAGCTCGTCACTCTTCTTGAATAGTTCGTCTGTGTTTTGTGCCTCACGCTGAGCTTACCTACCCATTATCACACACTTATTTTTACTCCCTACTTTTCCCTCTACATGCTGCTCTGACAGGTGTGGTGGAAGATTCACTCTCTCCCGTATGCGTAGGTCTGCCGTACCTATTTCTAAAGCTATGTGTGGATTCTCCCTAGGTTAACCATGGACTCACTCTGTCCATGTGAGTTTTTGTCACAAAACTGTACAAAGAATGAATTATCACACACACACACACACACACACACACACACACACAACACACACACACACACACACACACACACACACACACACACACACACACACACACACACAAGGAAAAAAGATCTTGGGGTGAGTATAACACCAGGCACATCTCCTGAAGCGCACATCAACCAAATAACTGCTGCAGCATATGGGCCCCTAGCAAACCTCAGAACAGCATTCCGACATCTTAATAAGGAATCATTCAGGACCCTGTACACCGTGTACGTTAGGCCCATATTGGAGTTATGCGGCACCAGTTTGGAACCCAAAACTAGCCAAGCACGTGAAGAAACTAGAGAAAGTGCAAAGGTTTGCAACAAGACTAGTCCCAGAGCTAAGAGGTATGTCCTACGAGGAGAGGTTAAGGGAAATCAACCTGACGACACTGGAGGACAGGAGAGATAGGGGGGACATGATAATGACATACAAAATACTGAGGGGAAAATTGACAAGGTGGACAAAGACAGGATGTTCCAGAGATTGGACACAGTAACAAGGGGACACAGTTGGAAGCTGAAGACACAGATGAATCACAGGGATGTTAGGAAGTATTTCTTCAGCCACAGAGTAGTCAGTAAGTGGAATAGTTTGGGAAGCGATGTAGTGGAGGCAGGATCCATACATAGCTTTAAGCAGAGGTATGATAAAGCTCACGGCTCAGGGAGAGTGACCTAGTAGCGATCAGTGAAGAGGCGGGGCCAGGAGCTCGGACTCGACCCCCGCAACCTCAACTAGGTGAGTACAACTAGGTGAGTACACACACACACACACACAAACACACACACACACACACACACACACACACACACACACACACACACACACACACACACACACACACACAGAGCAGCAGCAGCAGCAGCAGCAGCATCTCACAGCCATGACACTGACCTAGAAGGACTGGTGTTAGGTGTGGCTGGTGCTGGAAGTGGCTGTCTCGTTCAAGGTCTGACTTCCTGCCTCCGTTGCTGCTTCACCATTTTTATATGCAAAAGGAAGAGCTAAATTCACAGAGCATGGGGGGAGGTAATCAGATTTGTTCCAGGAAGATGGGTGGAACCTGGTCCAGGAAAATTGCTTTTCCTGGGAATTACACCAGTTACCCATTTCAGATGTGCAGAAAGGGAGGGAGGGGGAGGTTGATCCTAGCTCCTGGCCCGTCCTTATGTGGAGACTGTGGTCGTACAAGTGGTTCCATCTCTGTGGTCGTACAGGTAGTTCCATCTGTGTGGTCATAGAGGTGGTTCCATCTGTATGGTCGTACATGTGGTTCCATTTCTCTGCTCCTACGCTGAAGAATTGTAATTGCCTCACTAAGTTTGTCGGGGTCGAACCACGGCAAACTGGGTCGTTTAGAAACTAGTTAATAGTTATAATTATAACCGTAATTTTTAGAGGTGGGGGGTATGCCAGCGGAAGTCCTCGGTCAGATGACCAAAAGCTATAGCTGTGGATCATGACTAAGACCCGCGTCGGTAAACATTTGACCTGTTTTTTGACAGACGTTATGCTACCTGGGTCCTCTGAACGTCCTGTTAAATGACGCACCTGCTGGGAGGACCTGAGTAGCGAGTTTCTCTCGCGCTTAACACACGGTGTATCAAGCCTCCACCACTCCTTGTGTTGAAAGAAGGGAATATGCAGCACTTAAAGTTGATCCAAGGAAGGGGCAGGCAGTTTCAATCTCGTGAACCAAGAACCTTCACCAGCATCAAAGCACATACTCCACCATTACGAGGCCGCTCATGATAGACACTTATTTCAAGACTTATCATATTCTCAGGTTCAACTCCTCTAGGGTCGTAAAGCTGAACTCTTTTAGCCTCTCGTCGAAGCTCCTCCCCGTAGCTCTGGAAACAGTCTCGTTCCTTACTTATTCGCTTTCTCCAGTTTCTTAAGATATTTCTCTAGATGTTGGTTTCATACTGGTGCTGTGTACTCTAAGATGAGCCAGATGTATGTTGCATAAAGTTCCCGGAAAGACTCCTCTTTGGTGAGATTCCTGAAGGCCACTCTCAGATATGCCAAACGAACATTTGCTACAGAGGTTTCTCAGTTGGTATAAGCCTCTAGTGATATGGTAGGCACTATGCTTACTCCTAGGTCCTCTTTGAATGAAGTGTGCAGCCTCTGTCGCTGTACTCTGTGTCTGGTCTTTTGGCTCCTTCCCCAAACTTCATAACACTGCATTTGCTGAAGTTAAATTCAAGCAAGCACTTATCTGCCCAATCTTGCAGCTGCTAGAGATCAGTTTGCAGTTTTCCTTCGCCCTCATCTGTTTGTACTCTCCTCATTAGTTTTACATAATCAGCAAACAGGGATACATCTGACTTAATTCCATCTGGTATGTCCACATAAACCAGAAACAGTACTGGTTCTAGTATCAGTCCTTGTGGCACCCCGCTTGGTACTCTTCCCCACTCTGACGTCTCTTCCAGGATAATCACTCTTTGCTTCCCTCCCCTGAGGTACACCTTGATCCACCAGGGCACGATCCCAGTCATTCCTGCTTGCACCTCAAGTGTTGCTCCAGTCTCACGATGGCATGATATGCTTTCTTGCAGTCCAAGAAAATGTATTCCACCAAGTACTCTCTCCCCTCTCTTACTTCTCTTACTTTATCATAGTATTCCAAAAGGTTAATGAGACAAGATTTAGCATCTGTAATGAAATCACTTCTTTCCATGTCTTCTACGACTTTCCATCTGACTGTATTCATTACCTTGCAAGGTATTCATATCGACGTTTTTATTATTGCAACGTTTCGCCCAATAAAAATATCGCATTAACTGCGCATATCCTTTTACTTAACATATTGTCTGTAATTCTACCAACACTTCTTAAATATGGATACTACGCACAGTTGTTGTTGTTGGGTTATAGGGCCAGTGAGGTCATGTACCGTATCGAGCCGTGCCTCTCCACCCCCCCCCCCATTACATAATCCAGTTATTACACCGTTGTTATCCGTGATCCACTGCAGTGATGACGTCACTGAGTTATCCGCTCCACCTCTCATAACAGGGAGTTATCCACACAATCAAATATGTCTATCAGAACTCCGTTTTATCTAAAAAAAAAAAAATCCAAATTCCATTGGAGCCTTTCTGGACGAAACCGAATATTTTCCCATTGAAGATAATAGCAATAATGATGATGATGATGATGATGATGATGATGATGATGATGATGATGATGATTTAAAAAAACTGTGTCTATATCAAATATCGATAAAAACTGTTAACACAAGAAAAAACAGAACCTGTTCCAGCAGTAATGGTACACAACAGAAAACAGGTCCAGAAAACAAAAGCTAAGGAAGAAATACGATACAACGGGGAAACAGGAAAAGAGACACTGGAAATGGGAGGTGGAAGGAGATAGTGTAAACGGAAGCGAGTACTAACACGGGGGTAAGAGGAGCCTTAAAAAATGGTAGATAACTAACAGTAAAGACGTCAGAAGGGAATAACGACGGGGATAGCAAAACAGTAGATAACAAACGGGGAAAGACACAGGGAGAGTTGACCAACGGGTCTTGTAGATACTGTTGTCCCTTGTGGGTGGCCCACACACACACACACACACACACACGCACGCACATACACACACACACACATACACACAGACTACACACCTTTCACAAATCGCCTTGTTATTATGTTTCTCTCGTTACTCAGTGTCATCAACATTACTCAATATCACCATTGTCACGTTGATGTTGCTAATATTATCACCAATGTTCTTCCTGTTCTTCAGAGCGAGGCAGAGAGAGAGGAGCGCCCCCAGGATCATGCTTCTTCTCAGACTGTGCTGCGTCACTCTCCTGCTAGCCACGGTCAGTACCTTACACCCATTATTCCCATTAATTCCCACGGTGACGTGGTCACCATGCATGGCTCAATATATATATTTTAAGAGGCAGTAGGAGCAAAATAGTGGTGAAAAATCTCAGAATCTTCACGGCTACGCTGGTCTTCACACCAACACCAAGACTGAGGGACTGATTACCTCATCTTTTGTAATAGTTCTACTGTCTTCCAGTTATGTCCTTGAATTTTTACTGATAAAGCCAGTGGATGGTGAAGTGCCTACGATAAAGGTACCCAGATGTACCTGTGTCTAATTTTCCTCACGTACAGCGTATGTTATCCTGGTATGTTACTCTGTATGCTAATTGTACTCACCTGTGTGTGACTATATTTGTGTCTACCTGTACCAGATAAACTTACTTATTTACTTACATATATACTTACTTACTCTATTTAATTACATACTTAGGTACTTACCTACTTATTTACATAATTACTTACCTACTTACTTACCTACTTACATACAAAAGTGGAAGGTTTCAGTACAGTTGCGAGTACTATCCGCTCCTCATTATCAACATCCCATTACCAAATTTGGCTAATGGCTTCAAAATGTCCATTCATTTGTTTTTTCGCCCTTGAGAAATGTTTTCATCCTATTTTTTTTGGTTGCCTGGAAATTTTCCGAAAAATTCTATGTATATTATATATTATATATATATATATATATATATATATATATATATATATATATATATATAATATATATATATATATATATATTTCGACTAAAACAGAAATGGTTAGTGAATGTCACAAGACGTTGAGATTTTAATGGCCTTTTAATTTTTAATATACGTATCAGAGGAGAGGGGGGAGGGAAATGTCCTGATCCCGTCGTGGTTGTATTGACGGGGGAGCGCTAAACCCGTGTGGGTCGTGTAGCGCTAGAAGTCGAGGATGTAGAGTGTGCTGGTAGAAGTGGATTGCTTGTTGTCCAGCAAGGGGTGTGTTGGGGGCCCCTGGTTCAGAGCTTGGTGGCCATGGTTCAGAGCTTGGTGGCCCTGGTTCAGAGCTTGGTGGCCCTGGTTCCGAGCTTGGTGGTCCTGGTTCCGAGCTTGGTGGCCCTGGTTCAGAGCTTGGTGGCCCTGGTTCAGAGCTTGGTGGCCCTGGTTCAGAGCTTGGTGGCCATGGTTCAGAGCTTGGTGTCCTGGTTCGAGCTTGGTGGTCCTGGTTCCGAGCTGGTGGCCTGGCCTTCCGAGCTTGGTGTCCTCGTCAGAGCTTGGTGGCCCTGGTTCAGAGCTTGTGGCCCTGGTTTCAGAGCTTGGTGGTCCTGGTTACAGAGTGTGCATCCTGTCAGAGCATTGTACTCTAGGTTTCAAGCTGGTGCCTGTTTCAGAGTTGGTGGCCTGGTTCAGACTTGGTGCCCTGGTTCAGAGCTTTGGTGGTCCTGGTTCAAGCTTGGTGGCCCCTGGTTCAGAGCTTGGATGGCCCTGGTCAAGAGCTGGTGTCCTAGTTCAGCTTGGTAGTCCTGGTAGACTGGTGGCCCTGGTTCATGACCTGGTGGACCTGCCTCACGCGGCTTAAGGTTCTCAGGACGGAGTGTACCGTTGGGCAGGTCAAGGTTTGTGACTAGGTTTGAAACACGTTGACCCCCGCTATTGTTAAAAACAACACACAAACCACACACACACGCATTGTTATATGTATATTATAATTTAAAAATATTATAAGCGAAAAAGCATTTCTGTAAAAATTATAATAGTTTTTAATGAAAATACCTCAAACTTGTCCATCATCAGAAAAGGGAAAAATTTAAAGAG